TCACAAACAGTCACACTATACCAGGGAATTTCTTTCTTTCTTTCTTTCTTTCTTTCTTTCTTTCTTTCTTTCTTTCTTTCTTTCTTTCTTTCTTTCTTTCACAGATGTACAAATAGTCGGAGCCAAATCCTGCTCCACATTCCTCACAAGAAGAGTAAACCTTGACTTCCACGGTTTTACTTGCCTGAGTAAAGCCAAGCTTTCGGTCCAGATACAGACCCCAATACAATTACAGAGTGCAGGAAACCTCTCCCCGATCCCCACTGTATGATGTATGGCGTGAAATGCCCAGTCAGGATAATTTCTGCAGCCACCAAGACAGAAGTCTGTTTATGAAAGGTTATTAAAGCAAACTTAATTTCCGAAGGTTATAGCCATTTGTTTATAGTGTCGGGGTGATTAGACTTAAGGAACTCAACTCATCCCTTTCCTTCCAAATCAGTTTTATAGATTATCTTTGTTAGTTATTTGGACCGTAGCTGCTTTGGAAGTCAATGTCCTCTTTATTTGATGGCATTGTAACAGAGAAAGCCTGGCAGATTTATGGGTATACGGAGTGTTCCGAAAAATAGACTAAATTAAGTATTCAAGCCATTGAACTGTAAATACAGAGATCGTATCATTTCGCTCTATCTGGGTGAGAAGAGAAAATTGGCAATGGGGTCCATTTTTTGCCAAGACCACATTATTATTTAAACAGCACTGAATCATATAAATGAATGCAGCCTTTTTTTTTTTGAGCATCCAGCAGCTTTTAATAGTAAAACAATTGTCTCTTCTGTTCTTCTCTGTGTGTATTTTAGCCCATATAGATGGCCAGGCATTTCGCCTTTTCTCCGAAGATTTTAGATTTCAAGTGATTCCACCGTAGATTTCTCTAGGCTCGCATTTCCCTTGGCTGCCCCTCGGCAGAAAGTGACCTGTCTTAAGTTAACTTTAAGAGAGTAAAGTCCTCATAGGACACGTATAATCACATTGCTCTTGAACGGATAGGTTCAAACACTGGGCTGGTTGCTTCTGTTTATTTTCTAAATAGAAGAAACCCAGCTAGATTTTAAAGCTTTTATTGTAAGTATTATGGGGTCGGGTTGTTGTTTTTCTTTTTTTCCTTTCCAAGTATTTGAACAGAAACATCAGCTGTGAAATCTAAACCAACTCTGTTCTTGTCCAGTTCGATTCACTGGGGGGTGGAGGGGGTCTCAGATTCCTTGGAAGCACCAGGGTTAATAAAAGCACCAGGGTTAACCAAGATAAATACAGAATGCCTCTTAGGGTTTTAGCACTCCCACTAACTATATAACCTCTCAAAGAGAGCAGGGTGTGTGTTTAGATGCTACGGATTCTAATTGTCATGGTGACTGAGGCCACGAGTGTCTTGTTTACATTAATTGGGTATTTGTTTCTAACAGTCTTGCGTTTTATTAGCCAAAAATAATAAGCGCGTACGGCTCACGCAAACTTGGAGAACTGCAATCGGACAGCAGAGCCTCACGTTTACTGCGGTGGGTGTCAGCTTGCAAAGTGACACTTGCCAACAGTTCACCGGAGGACTTTGCTGAGCCCTCATAATTCTTTACAACCCTCTTGCAAGTCGTTATGAAAATCGCTCTCAGTTATCAGAATGAAAGAGACGCGGTGATGGATACAGCTAAGCCGAAGAGCCCCATATGTTACAAGGAAATAGACGCGAAGAGACAGTGTTATTGTTTTGTTTGTTGGTTACTTGGTGGGGCGTTTTCTAGATCTTCCAAAGGAACCTTGTGATAAGAAACAATGGAATTAAATTTGACTCTACAATCTCTCTCTCTCTCTCTCTCTCTCTCTCTCTCTCTCTCTCTCTCTCTCTCTCTCTCC